TCTTTCACCCGGCTTTAATTTTGCTCTGTACTTTTTCCCCCCAGACATCTTTGCTTTTATAACATGAGATAAAAATACATTCTTCATAGATTAATGAAGGCCATGAACATGATGTGATGACAGAGCTTTAAAAATTTATTTTAAAAAAATGGTATTTTCGTTTGGCAAACAACTGTTGTGTGCTAAAAGCTGCTCTTTTGCATGAGCCTTATGTAACATTGCAGTTAATAACATTTAGTGTTATCGGATGCTAAATGACTTTATCTCAACTACGAAAGCCTGTTTACAGAGATGAGGCAGCCTTGCTGGAGTGCCAGACTGTTAAATAACTACAGGTTGCCAAAACTAAATGAACTTTTCAGCTGGTAATGATGTGCAAATTGCTCTTGCAGATATATGTATGTATTGGAGAAGTGCTCACAGGCACAGGGTTGTGTCTCCTTAAAAACATTTCTTTGCCTTTGTCCTTAAACTAGCAGTGGCGGCATTAGAATGAATATATCTAGATATATAAACACAGCTATTTTGTGTTATTAATATCTGAATAGTTACTAAATAGCTATTTTAATTTAATTAACCAAGTATCTATTTATTTTGAAGTTATTAACTGTTATGTTAAAGGGCTATTTAAGCTATATTGTACTCCACTTGGTGAAATGCAGCTCTAGGTGAGAAAAGCAGCTGTGATTGTACCTTAACCAGCTTCCAAATATGATTGTAGTGTAGGGAAAGGAAGGTTTGTGATGGAATACCCAACCTGTGACCTTGGTGGGCCTGTGCAGATACAGTGCTAAGAAGGAGGAGAAGCAAAGGTCTGTCGGTTTCTTTTGTACGTGGGCCTTCTTGTAAACTACTGGTACAAAATTGGGAGACACGGGAATTAAACTCTGACACATCAGTTATGCAAGGTTTTATTATTTTTTTTTTAATTATTATTTTTCTCTTGAAAAAACAGTTTTCTGTAATGTGGCACCTGTGGGTGAAGAGGTCTCATAGTAAACTTTAAATGAGAAGATGATTCCTTAAAGTATGTTCAGAAAGGTGTTGGCCCAGGCTTGGAGAGTACGTTACCCAGAAGCTTCACTTTTCTCTCTGAGTGCTGCTGGATCCCGAGAGGAAGCACTGGGTTTCCTGTGCAAAGCTTGCTCCCTTGCCCTGGAGTGTCTCACTTTGCATTTCTTAGCCTGGTTGGGAATTTAGTACAAAGAGCCATTCTTGTGAATCATGTTTTCTTTGCAATTTTGCATTCCAGCTCAGCAATTCATTCCTCCTTTTTTCTACTGGCAAGAACATTACTGGGGTTCACATAACTTTGGTAAAATGGCTGGTTCAGGTTCTTCTGGGAGGCTTGAATGCTCCAGTTCCTCCATTCCATTGGGGGTTATTCTAAAAATACAACTCTTAGTATACCTAATATGCATTATAAGTAGTGAGATGTTCTGACAGTTAATATCCCCGAATTTAAAAGTTTTTCAAAGGTAAATATTTAATGTTGTGAAAGAAAGGCTTTTTCAGTAGTCAAGCTTACAGCTAACGATGTGTCTTCTGAGTAATCATGTTCCCATCCCTTGCATTATTAAGAGCCTTCTAAACATTATTTGTATAATCTTAAATGAAAATCGTATTTTGGAAATACTATTTTGAACGTTTGAGTGTGCTGTAGAGTGTTTCGTATAGGTCGAGTCTGTGCTTGTGTTTCACGCGGGGTGCACAGCAGCAAACATTCGGGTCTAACCATTCCTTTCCTCTCTGAAAGGACCGAGTTACTTGTGGTTCTTTCATTTCTCACTGAATTTTCCTGAAAACCTGAAGCACTTGCGGTGTTTGCACGGTGTGGGAGAGACGGTTCAGCCGTTCCAGGAGATGAGGAGCAGCCTCTTTGCAGCGGTCCATTTCCTCGCAGGCATCGCCCCCGTTCCCCCTCCCCGAGCTCCGGGGCAGGAAATGCCTCGCAACTGGTGGGTGAATCACTGGAGCTGCGGGGAGGGCACGGCGGCAATGCCAGGCATTGGCACCGGCGGGGTGCTGAAAGCATCTCTGAGGTCACCACTGGGCTGCAGGGCAGTGGGGTCTGGTGTGTCTTTGCTCTGCCAGTTGCTGAGGTGTGGGATCTGCTGGGACACCTCTGGCCCAGGGCTGGTGTGCTGGGAGTGTCTCTCGGCTTCAGGGCAAGGTGGAGCTGAGGGATGCACCCCAGTGCCCGGGATGAGAAGCTCTTTGCCCTTTCCCCTTCCCCATGGTAATACAAATGCCTCCCCCTGGAACTAACCCAGTGTTTAGAACCAAACTTCTGCTTCTTAAAACGCAAATCTTTTTCTAAATGGTCCGCCTTTGTAAACTATGTAGTAAAAATGTGAGAAGCGATAGATGGAGAGTGCATGCATTAAGGTACAGACCAAATGTTTAATAATGGTTCTGTTGAGTTAGGCTGCCTGAAAATTGTCAGTCTTTCATTTTAGACTTTTACCACTGTCCCATAAACCATTTTGAAACTAAGTTTATTTCTTTTCCTGAATTTAATTTTTGTTCATTCAGGACTATCCACAACTACATACATTTTTAACTTATAATGCTATTATTACACTTTTTTCTCAAGTTCTTACAACCAGCACCCCAGAAAACATAAATTCTATTTAGTATTGTAGGACAGACCTGTTCTAATTTTGTTGTAGGTTTGAACTGCTGTTGAATAGAATAAAAAGAATATAGTTCAATTTTCAAGTTGCAAAAACACATTTAGTATGTGCAATTTAGCAGCTGTTGCAAACACTTGGAGGCATTTTCTTCAGCATTTGAAAATTCCCTGTAGCAGTGAGACAGGAAACATTCATTTAGCTTTTCAAGCTTGAAAAATAATTTAACCTTTCCTTAAATTGTGTTTTGAAGTTTGGGATTAACTCTGTGCCTGGCTGCACAGATGGCTACATTTTACATACTCCTTTGTCTAGGAAAAAAAAGAAGAGACCACATGGTCAGTTAATGGCTTTAAACACTCCTAGTCCTCATTTTACATCGTCTTAATGGGACCGCAGAGATTCTGGGAAGATACTCAGAAAATTGTTGCTTATGGTGTAAGACTTGTAAGATGTGCTGTATTCTGTGTCCTGGAACTCATGAGCTATTTTTGCTTCTGCTTATTAATCCTGGCTAATGAATTTTACAGCTTCATCCCTTAAGATTTAACATTCATAATTCTGGTATGGAAAAAATGAAAACTAAGAGCACTAGTGTATAGAAAATGTTTCTTTATTACTGGAATGTGCGGGCTCTTATTTTGTAATCTTTTAATAGGCAAAATTATCAATTACATGTATTTTTAAGTAGAATCCGTATTGAGTCACTGAAGCGTTTATCAGCTAAATAACCTTTTTAGTCTTTCAGAATGCTTTCTAAGCTTTTTTGCTCGCCACTTTTGGGAAATACCGTAGTGAACTGTGAACTACACAAATCAATTGTGATTGGGAGAAATGATGGAAAATCCACTAAGTCAGTGGTGTGTCACCAGAACAGACAGTTATAGCATATAAAACCAGTCCTTTATTTGGTATCTTGTGCTTTATAAAGATTTTTTTTTCAAGTAGGTTTTAAAATAATATCAGCTAAAGGATTGCTAGTTTAACATAGAATCATAGAATGGAATCATAGAATGGTTTGTGTTGGAAGGGACCTTAAAGGTTATCTAGTTCCATCCCCCTGCCATGGGGGACACTTTCCACTAGACAAACACAGTTTGTGTAGGTCTGTATGTGGCACATAAAAGAATCTTGACAAAACCACTTAGTGCTGTACAGTGTTGAGCACTTGTAAGAAATCTGTCAAGTTTATAAAAGGTTATCGCTACAATATGGGCACATGACTCTTTTTTTTTTCTCCATTTGAAAGTACTAGTAAAGTTTTTAAGGCTACTACTGCTTTATAATGTAAAAAGGAAGAGTTTCCTATAGTCTCTTAAGCTCTTACCCTTTTAAACCAGCATGTGCAACTAAATCCATCTTTTTGAAGTTCTTGAAGATAGCTGTAACTGGTAGAATACTTTATGGCTTTATTGCAGTTTCTGCAACAAAAAGACTTCCATTGCAAACTCTGCAGTCATAAAGGTCATTCTTGCTACTATTAGATGGAAATTTTATGATGTTCCTGCAGTTCTGTGTGAGTATTGCAGACCAGGATGGGATATAGGGGTGTAGTGGTTTGAGATGCTGTGGATCACCATGTTGGAGTCTCTAGTCTTAAATGCTATCAGCCAGGCATTTCTGACAAATACTTAATTCACTTCTATTAAATTAAACTTAAGAACACCTCCAGATGTTGTTTATATATTTTGAGGGTGTTTGTATATATACATAGGAGAACATGCACCCTGCCTTCCAGTCAGCCCAATCCTCTTCCCCTAATTTATTCAAGGAGGAAAAGGTTACATTTCCTCTAGATTTTTGAGGGTGTTTTGTTTAGTTTTTTACTTCCAATGAACTTCCTTGAAAGAAAGACTAAGAGAGTGTTGTAGGAAAAGCACTGTTGGCTGAGAAGTACCCTTAAGCTGGGTACCCTTAAGTAGCATTTCCAGTTCTAAGATGCAGAAGGAGCTGGTATGTGAAGGTCAGAAGTTGCCAGTGTAGTTCATGTTAACACAACATGACGAATGTTGTGTTATAAACACTAGAAACTCTTTGTCTTGCTTGAAATCTGAAAATGTAGTAACTTCTTATGCTGCAATTTGGTAAGCCTGAAGAGTGGTTTGGGATTATTATTTTAAACCTCACAGATAAGGAAGCTCAGTCTGAAACTTCTCAGCCCCTTATTATGGGTGAAATGTGTAGAATTCTGCTTTGGCTTCCATTGATTATCTTAATTGCCTCAGGATTATCAGACTTTTCCCAATACCATTACTATCTTTATGACTGCTCGATAGAATACAGAATCTATGTTAATAAATAAAACATTGCCTGTAAATGGAGGTGCTGAAAAATTAACTCCTTCTTTTCTTTCTTCTGTTTTTTCAGCGGAACCCCTGCCTTTAATGGACTTGTGCCGAAGATCAATTCGTTTTGCTCTTGGCAGAGACCGCCTGCATGACATAGAAATTCTACCTTTGCCTCTGTCTCTGAAAAATTATTTACAGTACCAATAAGATGTCTAGAACCCTCTGGCCTCACGTTGGACTACATCAATGCAAATGGCAGAAAATTGTTTACAGCAAAATATAAATCTTTGTGATGGACACTTAAGTGTTATTTAATTTTTAATATATATTTTTTTCTGAACCAGTGAAAGCAGATCACTGTGGGGGACTACTAAAGAATGTGAAAACGTTGATTTGATTGAGATTCATGTGTTATCTGTTGCCTGTTGTGTTTACAGTCCTGAAGGCCATTATTCTCATCTCTCATATGTTAGTTTATCTTTGTTGCCTCTGGTAAATGCCAATAGAAAATCTGACCTGCAAGATGCACTGTCCTGCAGGACAGAGCGTTCTTCAATATTGTGATTTTCTTTTTGTCTCCTACACCTTACCCCAATAAATAAAAATAAATTAGCAAAGGAAAATTCTTGACAGTAACTTCTGAAAAATATTTAAACCTTGTCTTTGGTACACAGAGTTGCTGGGAGTTTTGAGTGTTTGGCACTCAACATAATTAGGCCTACACTATCTAAAAGCTCTAACGTTCAAAAAAGCAGATTATTGTCTAGAAGAAGAGTCTGTGGTTTGAAAACATGAGAGGAAAAAAGGGTATATGTGTCAGATCAGTTTTTGGACTTGGTAACAGTAAGGCGCAGTTTGTTGTTTTCAAGACCAAATCTAGTCCCTCCAAACTTCTGCAGTTTATAACAAAGTGTTCACTATCCCAAGAATTTAGGATATTCATATTTTAGAAAGCTTGTCACTTTTTTTATTTGAACAAATTTATAATTTTTATGTGGTATGAACTCTAAGTACTTTGTTTTCTTTTTAATGTATGTGTGGTTATAATGTTTATTTATCTGTTTAGCGTCTGTGGAGTTCTCATTTAACTGTTTCCCATCATGGGGTGACTGATTTTAGTTTTTTTCCCCATCTCCATCTGAAATGTATCAATTTTTCAGGCTCATCCCATTTTTTAAGATGCTGCTTTCTATTTGCGTTTCTTACATGTTTCAAGTTATCTGCCTGATCAGTTATCTAGTTTTTAAACTGGAAGTTGTTGTTATGGCAGAATGTCAAATGTTTAGACTGAGCTGCCTTCAGCATATTTTAATGTGAATTTACTGATGAATGAGGAGAAAATTTCTAATAAAGTCTACTGTCCAAAGTAAAACTCATATCTCCTTTGATGAAGTGTTAAATAACATAGTACTGCTCATAGCACAGAGTTGAAGTTCAGTTCCTCCTCCTGCAGCTTTGCAAATGTTTCTGCTCGGCACTTCTTTGGGATCACTGCTTTGGTTTCGTGTGTGAGAGACATCACAGACAACATCATGTCCCTGACTGATCCCACTCACTCTGCATAGAGCTGTACTCTTGCTTTTAACACCGTTCTGGTCAGATTCCTCTCAACAAAACCTCAGTTTTGTGCCAAGTCGTGCTTTGGGACTCCGTGCTTCTGAGGTAGGTTGGAGTTTGAGTGCTGTGCACTGGTGATCCAGGCAAAACCACTGACCCGCAGATGGTTGCCCTGCTCTCAGTCGCCCCTGGGAACAGAATTACAGTTCCAGCTGGAAAAGAGAAATGTGAGATAAATAGGATACAGCAACACAAGGAAGAGTGGAAGCAACAAGGGCAAGGTAACACAGGGATGTCAAAAATTAAATAATAATAATATTTGTGTGTCTGGGCACAACTGTGTAAGTTGATGTCTGCTTCAGCATCAGGTTACTTTTGGGCTGGCTTTCGCTTAAGGTGAGCGGTGGGTACTGCATTCCTTACCTTTATCTTGCAAAGGGGAAGAAACTAGAGCTGTGATCTGCATTTCCTGCTTTTCCCACTTGCTTTATTTAATTTTAACCTTTTGTCTCAATAGGTATACAGGAAGAAAGAGCTATAAAGGTATAATAGCTTACACAGAAGTTAAAATACAGCTGTGTCAAGTGATCTGTCATAAGCAAGGTAAGCAGCTGTTCAGGAATGGCCTGGTAGTCCTTATTTTTCTACCAATGAGGTCCATTTTAGGTAAGCATTTCCTAAAATTAGTATTTTCCTGTATGTAACTAGGCTTCATGTTCCTTTGAATAACTGCAGCAACACAACTGTTAAGTGTTGTCTTTTCTGTTCCTTCACTTGACCCAAGCCAACAGTTTTTTATTGTTAAAGTGGGAATTGATGTCATAAGATAAATTAATGGTGCATCTGTATGTTAATTAACATTTTACAGTGGCATTGGAATTTTAGTTTAGTTAGTGCCCCTTCTGTGAGGATTTCTCTAAACCAAACATCCTTATTTTAACTTTCAGATGGTTTTTTCTAACACTTACCCGTCTTCCAGGAGTGCTAATTTTACAGGTATAATAGTTTTATTCTTTTACTGTTCCCTAATTGCATGTTGTGATTCTGTGGATGGTAGATACACTCCTTCATGTGGAGTTAGGGACCTGGCTTTGGGGATCAGAGTATTTTTGATATAATTTTCTTGGTCCACAGAAGCCTTGTGATGAGAATGCACCATGGAGAACATTAATGATACTTCAGTGTTCTTCCTAACCACCCTTGTGCAAATAGATTCTCTTCCAAGAGGGTTTATGGGGAAAAAAAGAGTGCCCATCCATATTGCTAAGGATGAGTCAAGCACTGAGGCTGAGCAAATAGTCAGAGTACCTCCTCACAGAATGTACCAAAGAGAGTCTCCTCTCCGTTTTTGAGCTCCAGCCTGGGTGGGATGTCCCTCACCTGGATTCTCCAGGCTCACTTTAGCGGAATGCAAACGTTGTTTACTGTCTGCTTCAGGAGCGAATTGAGCAATAATTTATAAAGTGGTGATGCATTGGCTTTTGCCCAAATCAGAGGTCAAACACTAAGTTGTTATCATCCATTAACTAATGCAGTTGAAACTTCTGTCTCTCTATCCTGGCACCCTAAACACAAGAATATACCTACCCAGAGGTCCACTCTGAGGAGTGTCTAACAGAGAGAATGGTCACTTACTACAAAGCTGTATGACTGTGAGGTTTGCTGTGAGATGTCCCTTACATTTATATTCTTAATTTCCAGCCACTTTTGCCTTTCTTCACATGAAAAAAACATAGACAATGATGTATGTGATGGTTGTCAACTTTCATGTCCCTGTGCCTGAGCAAAAGGAGTACAGCTTTTCTAGACATGATCTGGAAGTGTTCCCATGGCTGGTAAAATAATGGTGGTAGAAACTCTGTAAAGCAAAACACGTGAGTCTTTATTGTGGTATTTGAAAGAGAAGGGCACGTGCCTGGCAGCTGAAACCAAATTGCAACCTTTGTGATGGATGTGGGCTAACTAGTGGGTTGCAATAAGATTTCACCTACCCTTTGGCATTTGGTTCTCTAATGTGGCCCCTTCCTAGGAAGTATTGAAGGTTCAGAACCCCTTCTGTTAAAACTGTGGTTGAGACTTGTGAAAACATGCATCATAGCTTCTCTTCCTTGCTTTCTCAGTATTGCCATTATTCACCTTTCTGCGAATTGGGGGGGGGGCTTGATTTATCCACCTAGAGGTGCTACTCTGGTGATCACGATTCATAGGTGCTGTAACTTCAGTGACACTCTTAGCTTTTAGACTTACTAAAGCTGTAATTCTATAACAACTAAATTTGGAGTCAAATTTTAGAAGCCATTGTCCTTTGGTGTCACACACATATCCCTACTGCTGTGCTGGCAAAGTCTGTGCTATGGAGGCTTTATTTCTGATTCTGATTGAACCAATGGGGATGTACTGAATGTCTGCATTCTCATCCAGAGATAATGTACTACAATCTGCTGGGAAATTGTGAAGTGTTATTTTAGACTTCACATGTAGTCTTCCTTGTGTTCAAGTTTTTATATCAACAGATTAACTCAAACTGTTGCTGTTGAGGTAGGACCTAACTTTACAGCAGTTTCTCAGTGTTCACTTAAAGCTGGGAAAAAGCTGTTTCAGAAGCAGACATGTACAAATCATTTGAGTGTTTTTGATAGTTATAAAAGAGCAGCAAGCCAGAAATGCTATAAAATTTCCTTCTCATCGCCATTGCAGTTGGTATTGTTAAACTATAACCATATGTTCTCATGTCAGTGAGCAGCAATCGCTGCACAGCCAGCCCTGTATCAGATCCAGCAGTGCTCGTTCAGGTACAATTCCCACTGACATCAGCGGGAGATCTGCCTGAGTCAGCACTGCTGCTCTTGGTTCCCATGTAAAGATCTCCAAACATTTCCAATACGTTGTTTTGAGCGATACTTTATTATATGTAAGCAATGTCAAGCAGATGGTTTCTGCAGCAGTTTTTCTAATTTGGCAAAACATGCTGGCAAGTGGAGTTAGGTGAACATTGTGAGAAAGTTGAATGAAAAAATGCATCTAGTTGAGTCTGAGAGCAATATTCAAGGGGGAAGCCAGACTTCTTGGCTCCTTGATGGTGATTTTCAAAAGCTTTTTCATTTATAAACCTTTCGAATCTCGCAGTGGTTTTTATTCTGTATACTTAAAGGAATGTAGGACCCTTTATGCATTCCTGTTTATCTCACAGAAGAATGTCTGGTGATCATAAAGTGGAAATCCTTTGTTTGCTTGATTCAAAAAGACACCAAAAGAACTCCTTCCTCCTTGGGAAATGCTCTCCGTAGACATAGAGCCATGGGAAATATTCAACATGCATCAAGCCTGGATGCCCCCCCCCCCCTTTTTCTTTTCTTGAGGTAGCAGCTGTTCCTTCAGAGAAGATCTTGGTGTGTTCTGCAGGCAGTGTCGAAAATAAAAATGGTTTGAAGCATCTGCTACAAAGGAGAACACCCTGCTGAACGTATGTTGAAGCAAATTTGAATGTACTATGGTGGGGGCAGAGGACAAAGAAACAGAGCTCAGGAGAATAGTGTTTCCTTAAGGGTTTGCCTTATTTTGTTTTTTTTTTAGCCCCATTAGAGAGTACGAGTAAATTTAGAGGGGAACGAAAAAAAGAAAATTTTTATGCTTCCACAGCATCAGGTGTTTAGTGTTGATGTTTAAAGTTTAAGCAATAGCATCCTCTTTACCACTAAAACTCTGTTGCAAAGCCTTAACATCCTAAAGCTATACCAGTGACTGTACTTCAAAAGCTTCCAAAGGTCTCTGGGCTCTGCAGTTGTATGAAAATAATGCCCTGTTGCATGTATTGTCCCCTTAGAACTTAATGAGTTAACATGTAGGCAGAGAGCACTGCTGCTCTGTGGTTATTGCTACGGCTGCAGGAACATATGGGGGTACCCAAATGAGCTCACACATTTGCCAAAGAGGAGGCCAGGACTTGGCAGAGCTGAGCCCAGTGTGGGGCAGTGCCTGAGCCCAGCATCAGCACCAGCGTATCTGCAGCCATTAATCTGTGGCTGAGCTTAAACAGACCCACATTGCAATTGGTAGGCATCTTTGCAAATCCTGTTTAAATAGGTGTCAGGATCAGATACTTGGAGTTTCACTTAAGTTATATAGCCTCTAATCTCTCCAGGTGACAGTACATGTTAAAGTAGAGCTCATGTTTTTAAGAAATCTAACATATTTTGGAGTGCTTACGGTTGGAACAGCTATGTTCTCGAAGTTTAATGTGCTGTTTCTCTGGCTTTTGAAAGCTACAGCACAAAAGGCAGGTGTCTTCAGACTTCTAAGGAAAAGCAAACAAAAGACACAAATGAGCTGATATTCCTGCCAGTTCTCATGTACAACAATTCCCACTGACAATTTCGAATGGCAGTCATAAGCCAGCATCATAGAGGCACTTAGTTGAGATCAGTATCTTTTTGGTGTTGCCTAGATCAGTTTCCTCTGTATTTTATATATTTTCAAGAAGAAAAAAGTATTAAATAAGGTTATTCAAATTGCAAGCGTAACTTGAAAATGCAGTCTTGTAATGAATAAAATGTTTATATCACACTTAAGACTTGCTTGACAGAGGCACAAGTAACTGCTGCACACATACCTGGGAAACAAGTACATGTTTTTAATGGCAAAATGGTTCAGCCTTTTCTCATTATACTGAGAAAATCAGTTTGGCAAGTGCATTGCTTCTCATGTAGCAAAATGTGAACAGCTCTAAGGCATGGGGCCAGAATTTCAATACAGGCATTTGGAAGTGACTTCTCAAGCACAGTAAAAGTGCCTGTGGCATTATTTTGGGGACTGAAG